CACATCGAGATTCACAAAGTGCTGCGCCTGCCACGAAATCTGCACATCGGAGATCCAAAATGAGCAAATTGCACGAGGCTTTCGCAAATTTTGAAATGCGTTTCAGAAATGCTGTGCCTGCCACGAAATCATGCCTGCAGGTCATAGGAAATGCTGCACTGGTCACGCAAAATCATCTTCAAGTTCAAATTCCAAAAATGCGGCCCCTCTCACGAATTCAGCCGTTTCACCTCAAAATATCGCATCCATGGTGCGGATTCCCTGCGCCTGCCATGTGAAACGCAGTCCTGCGAATGACACACGCCTGCCAACGCTTTTGCAACGTCCACAAAACACTGCGCCTGCCACAAAATTTGCAAAGTCTCCGATTCCTTTCACCTGCCACGTAAAATGACCTTTTCGAGGCTCCAACGTGTCGAATTCCTTGCGCCTGCCACGCAAAATGCACTTCATGTCCGAAAACGAGCACGGCACCTGCACGAGAGCTTTGTCCCGGAAGCGCGAAAACCGCGACACCCACTTTATGCGAGCCTGCGCAGTCGAAATGGACATGAGGAATTCAAAAAGCAACTTTTGTGCGAGCCGGCCCACGCAAAATGCCGCAACCACACGCGCGAACCCTGATCTAAACCCGGCCCTTAACTCTTACCGTAAGAACCCCTTTGTGCGGAGCACTATTTGGGGAATAACTGCTCAAAACCTCGCCCATACTGTGGAATTTGCTATTACTGAGTATGTTTTGTCAGGTTATTGCTGTGTGAATCTCACTGTCACATCCCTCACGCGCACGTATGATTGCAAAGAAGTTGCTCATCTTCTGATGCAACTTCTGTCGTCAACTTTAGTCACATCATCAGGTGACTGGAAGAGGTGCCCGATGCGATCGGGTCACATTAGGGCCACACCAGGTTCCTTTCTACAAGGCGCATACTCTTTCGCACCGATTGCCAGGAAGTTTAGGTATTGTATCGCGGCAGCAGCAGCAGCAGACAAGCAGCAGCAGACAAGCAGCACAAGCGTGACACGCAAACACGCAGCTCTTCCTACACTGGAACAACAGCGGCACCCTGCAGCGGCACCAGCACCCACGCTCGAAAACGCACACATGCAGCTCTTCCTATACTTGAAGTAAGAACCCTAATAGCTCATGCTGTCTGTTGAAAAAACACGATGCAATGATGCAACAATGTTGTTGAATCTATCACACAAGCAAGCAACGCATGGGCACAGCACGTTTCCTTCGGTTCGTTTAACAAATAGAACAACAACAAACATCCATAAGTAAGCCAATCCCAAGGGCACAACATTTTGATGCGACTTTCCTCCAGTTGATACGACTTAAAGCGAGGCCCCAGTAAAAGAAACGGCAAAACTCGATCTTGTCTCTTGCTTTACAGCTTTTCCTGCACGCGCCTTCGTGGGTACCCCTTTGCAAAACAACGCACGCCTGTGGCTCGTCTTGGCAGTATTCTGACCGTGGACACTCAGCAACAGGGTTCCTGCAGATTCCTCCACCCTTCGACACTGATCATGGACGTGATCTGCTTCTTTGATGATCCTTATGATCCTTCAACGTCACAAGAACTTAGACACGTACAGCGTCGTACAGCGCGGAAGGAGTCTTTACACTTCACATGGGTTGGCCCTGGGTTAGCATCCAAGCAGCACGGCGGTTGTAGAAGAGGGGTGTCCCCAGAATCCACACCTCGGGGTCGAACGTGGGCGTCGACTCATCGGCATCTAAGAGGCGCAGACATGCGTCATCCGATCGAACGGAAGATGGAGGTACAGGATGCAGCGAGGCGTCGACGCAATCAGGGCAAGTTGCAAAATTCGATCTTAAAGATCTTAAAGCCGAGGACTGAGCCTGATCCATTCCTGTGTAGTTGGCAGTGCCCAGCAGGATCGCACAACTGGACTCCTCTTCAGTCTCGGGCCACCAGTATGGCAGAATACCTGGCAGGTAGGGAATAGCCGTAGTTCTAGGGCCTTTTGCTCTTCAGTGGGTTGAACACAAATCATCCCAGGGTCACCTAACAAGTATTTTTGGCTCCAAACCAAGGCTTCGGAGGACACTTCTGCAATATAGCCTGAGCTGATGTGACTTCTCCGAGAAACAGGATAATCAAAGGTTTGCTGACAACAAGGCACAACCAATTTTCTTAAATATATAGATCATGTCCGGCATGCATTTGGCAGCACACTGGCATGAAGCGGGCGAGTGAATTTTGCGAAGGGACTGCTTGGAAGAAGCTGGATATCCTGTTGGGCGCCATCTGCGCCTGACCAACATGCCAATTCCGAGTCGGGCCAATCCGAGTCGGGTTCGTACAGCTTTTGCAACATCCAGGATTGCAACGTCTCGTACATTCCAGTATGGAACCCAGTCACAGACCTTGAAGGCGAAACTCGATCGCTGGCATCTCTGCCTCAAGTGGATGAGAAAGGCGTCCATCAGTCTTGGCCAGTAAAGAGAGAGCCCAACTGTCACATCAGTGGTTCTGCTCTGCCCTGAGGATCCAACATCTAGATCCACACCCTTCTTCCAACTGCCACAATCCTTCAGCTTCCAAACAGAGCAAGCTACTCTCCAGGCCAGGCTAAACATCATCCCAAGTTATTTATGTATATATATATATATTACATGATATAACTATATGATTATATGTGTCTACCTGTGCCGGACCACCCGACTTTTTGTTTACATGTCTTTGCGCCATTATCATGTGTCCAACTGTCCATAGTCCATAATTGTCAGTATTATTAGGAGGTGTGCCATCTGCATTCATCAACTGTTTGTGTAGGCCGTGCCGCTGGGCACTCAGATTAAGATTTCTCATCCCATCCTCCAGCAGCATCTGCAGCGCCATCACTCCCGATGGAGAGGGATGGGTGAATTCCGCTGCCTACACAGGACACAGGCGAGGCTTGACAGACTCGACGGCCCTGAAGACCAGTCGCACTGCCAAATTGCCGGGCCGCCAAGTGTGCAAGTTCCAGTGTGCAGGTGCACGCGGACAACATGAGTCAAAACACAAAACCAGCAGGTCAAACCATTCATGTCATCAAGTACTCTGTAGCAAGCCACCACTATCCGTATTCAAGAAATAGACGACTCGTTCCTTCCCACGAGAGCGCTGTGCTGCGCCTCCAAGAGGGCAGGAGGTAAACCTCATGCATCAACTCCGCCGGCTTTCTGGGGAAGGAACATTCTCATAATGTACATGTGGGAGCTACAGAAAATTATGGCACTATCTCATAACCAGACGGTAGAACTGTGGGTCTCAATTGGTGTAACATTCTCAAGTATGGATGCTGTATAGGAATACTTCTATAGATCTACCAATCAGCGCTCCTCAGCCCAAGACCTTTGTGCCATTGGGACTTTGCTACCAGGAGCCTGGAGAAAGAAGCACCCCAGGCTCCAACTCATTCTGGAGCTTGGAAACCACATCATTCACATAATCCCAGCATAACAAGGAACTGAATTCAGCACTCACTGAATTCACACACTTGTGGCCCAGAGGGGGGTGGCGAAAGCTAGGCAAAGAAACAACGCTTGGGCTCTTTTGGCAGCAAAAGCTGGCCGGGAATCGCAACACGCCATGGCCGAGGGAAAAGGAGAGTGCCAACAGCGCCCCCCCAATACGACCCCAACACAGCCAACACATGGCAACACACAACCACTCCAGCAACAGCAGCAGCCACCAAGCAGCAGCAGCAGCAGCAGCAGCAGCAACCAAGCAGCGCAGCAGCCGCTACCAAGCAGCAGCAGCAGCAGCTACCAAGCAGCTACCAAGCAGCACCACCAGCTACCAAGCAGCAGCAGCAGCAGCAGCAGCTACCAAGCAGCACCACCAGCTGCCAAGCAGCAGCAGCAGCAGCAACAGCAGCATCAGCTACCACCAGCAGCAGCAGCAGCTACTAAGCAGGAGCAGCGGCTACCAAGAAGCAGCAGCAGCAGCAGCCAAGCAGCAACCAAGCAGCAACCAAGCAGCCACCAAGCAGCAGCAGCAGCTACCAAGCAGCAGCAGCACCAGCAGCTACCAAGCAGCACCAGCAGCTACCAAGCAGCACCAGCAGCACCAGCAGCTACCAAGCAGCTACCAAGCAGCAGCAGCAGCAGCAGCAGCAGCAGCAGCGGCTACCAAGCAGCAGCAGCAGCAACAACAACCAAGCAGCAGCAACAGCAGGAAAGAGCAGGAACAAAGAAACATAGAAACAGGAGCAGCAGCAGGGACAAAGAACAGCAACAGCGCGTTGGGAACTGAGAAACGGTCAGGGGTGAAGGGTGGAGTTGAACCCGCGGGGGGGTATAGTCCTGATATATCAGGTATCAGCACTCAGCTAAAGCAAGACAGACTCCGGCTAGCTACAGCTAGCTTTCGTGAATTCAGACTCTTCAAGGCCTTGTTCTGCACAAAGGCCCTAGTAAATGCAGTGTGGCTGTGTGCTTGCAACTCCCTCCCCACGCACCTGCGGATGCTGGATCGAGCTTCATTCCCTGCACCGTCTTGCGCCAAACACGTGCGCTCAATTCAATCAGGCCTACCCCGCCCCGCCTGATACAGAAACGTCACTCTGCACCTGCCATGCTTCAGTTCTCCGGCAGATTATCGGCCAGTCTTCAGTTCTTCTCACAAAAGAGCAGGCTTTAGTCTTCAGGTTCATGCTTGAAGTCACCCCTGCTGCCCCTGCTATTGTGCTTCGCTGCATGTCTTCCCCCAATGAGCAGGGCAGCAACAGCAAAAAACAGAAAAGGACGAACCACCCTGCGCGGCCCTCCCTTTTTCGGAAGGCGAGTTTCTGTGAGAACATGTGAGAACACTGGTTCGCTTAGTGTCTTTCGCCCCTTACAGGCACGCAGCAGCATGCACAAACAAAATCATATAAACAGAACACGTATGACACGGCATCATTCCATCAGCCCAACCGAGTGACGGGTTCGAGTTTAGAAACAGCACCCCGGGTTCCAGCACCATCGCAGCTGCAAGATCGTCTTGGGCTTGCTTACATCGAGGCCACCTTTGGTCGCAGTGTGTGAGGACGAAGTCATCAATTGTTCCATGTAATTTAGCAATCTACTCCGGGCTCTTGTGAAAGCCACTGGTTTTGTTGATAACCTTGTCCCTCACACACTTGGGATATTGCGTACTGAATTGAATGCCCCACGCCACACACCCGGTATGAAACCTAAGAGTCCAAGGGTACAAGAGTACAAACCTGAAAGTCCCAAGTGGAGAGTCGTTTCACTACAAGAGCTTCCAAAGTCCTAGCCTCGAGGTCACGAAGAGCGATCGACGTAGCGTGCGGGTCTGCAAACCTCAAAGTCACTTGAAACAGCCAGGCCAGTTAGAGGAGAAGGTAATTGCAGAACACCAACTAGAACACCACACTTGTTAAAGTGCAGGTGCACGGGCGATCAATCCGTGCTTCCCACTCCAAGGCATAGCTTCGTTGCACTGAGTTTGCCAAGGAGTGCTCAGTGCCCCTGCGATAAGACTAAGGGCCAAAAGGTTCCCGTTGACTCCAAGGGTTACACACACACACCTACCTTCTTGCACAACTATGTTGAAATGGAGTTGGACAAAGCCCTTGCGTATTACGCATAGTTGCAGCAACTACAGAATTCCTTCGCACATCTCTCTATATATATATATATATACCTGGCGTGATCTGGCACTACAGTTTTACGAACGTTCGGGGGAAAAGTTCTGAGGCCCTTTGTAACATGGAAACGGTATCCGCATCCGCATGTTGAGGTAGACTCTCGCTGATTGCCTCAAGCGCAGCCTGGGTGCTTGTCACAAATAGTCTCCATCAAAGAAGCTATTTCTGTCTGTGGTCCTGCAAGATCGGAAGATCGTACCACATCAACAACACCCCGTGCTGTTTGAAAAGCTCAAAAGTCCCCAACACATTGATAGGATATTTATCTGATATTATTATGATAGCATGCGCTACGAAAAACCTGAAGAGCAAGCCTGTGATGAGCGTGGTGCCCGAGTCAGGGATTGCCAACTGCCCGTCCTGCCAAATGGCTTGCTTGGCTGCAGGTCACTTGGGAGAAGTTTGGCGGCTATAGGTGTCAAAACGCTTCCATTGTGCTGGGGTCTAAAACACACCCACATGAACTCTTGCAATTCAATGAGCTCTGTGCCACTCTGCAATGCACGAGGGGTCCTTGGTCGCTGATACCGTTTGCCCAGCTACACTGGTGCCTTGCACCCTCAAGGCCCAATGATCCGTGGATAAGATCGGCAGGAGCTTCTCTGGCGCGGGGTAGTCCAGACCCAGAACACCTCAAAGCCGTCACGTCCGTTCAAACAGCGCCAAGTCAGCTGACAAACCGGCTTCAGGTATCGCTGGGAAGCCAGGTTGAATCCAGAATTCGGCGACAAGGCACCATCAGCCCCAGAGTTGAAACACAAGGAGAAGCGTTTCACCTGCGCTTCATCCAAGAACGTGGTCAGGACTTCCGGCTGCCTGTGTTGCAGGCAGAAGTGACAGAAACCCGACATGTTGACCTGGAAGAGTTGATTGCCTTATTCAACCTTCTTCATGCCGACATCCGAATGTTGGCAAGGAACTTACCTGAGGCCCTCCTGCTTGCCATGGAACTCGGAGAAAAAACCAAACAAACCCGACTAGTCTTCGGCCACACCTGTGAGAGGTACCGGCACCACCACTGCCGCGGCGGATCCTCGCAGTGAGGTTTGGCACCCCAAGGCCCAGGATGCCCTGAAAGCCAGCATCGTCAAAGTTCAGCGCTTGGCTCACCATGAGTAAAAGGCTGCTATTCCTCAGTGAATGTGAACTCAATTGGCATGGGATCGGCAGGAATTCAGAAATATGGACTTCACTGAATCACGAGTGCCTTTGGCAAAAGCTAGATGTCAAGGCAAGTCTTGCGGTGCCTATGGGTTTTCCATGGTTTTCCATTCTCTGAATATGTACCACTTCGCCTCAACGGACACTCGGGGACACCCCTGCACCAAGCTTCATATGAGCCGTATAGTTTCCCACAGACACCTCATCACTGGCGACAACGGCCTCAATGTCACCGCTACCATAGGTCAAGATCCAAATTTCTGGACCTGCTTTGGCCTCAGGTGCCACTGGCCGGGTTGTGAAAGGTTGAACTCTCCCCTGCACCTCCACTGTATAACACTTGAGCGGGGAAACACGAAAGGTAGAGACGGACCGAGTAGCTGTCGGGACCTTTTCTGGTGAGGGACTGTCTCCGGTGTTTCAGGAACGTGCCCCTTGGTCAATCATGGATGAAACCAACAAAGCCAGAGAGCACAAGAAGGCATAAGAAGGCTCAAGAGGAACTCCGTTGCGGTCAGATTGCGCCACACGGCTCTGCAGAGAGGCTGCGTTGCGTCGACGCTCGTTTGTGTCTAGGTGTGTGAAAACAGGCGCGCGTAAAAGTCGCAATGCGTAAACGCTCGCTTGCGTACCAGCTATGGTCCCACAGCTGCACGCGCTGTGTCAGGATTACAGGCCTGCACGCGTTGCGTCGAAGCCGCAGTGACTCAGTGACCAACCCCCTTGTAAGGATAGTGCTGGAGGGGTGCGGCCGGTACTGCCAGGGATGGACGTCACGCTATGGTGGGTGTGCTCCACGATGCGGTAAGATTTCGCCACGCTAGGGTATAAGGCTGAGTCGAATGGTGTTCCGCGACGCGAGGGGTTCCTCCACAGGGCTTTGCAGAGAGGCTGTGTTGCATCGATGCTCGTTGGTGTCGAGCAATATGGTCTGTGAACGCAGTGCGCACGCGCGGCGGCAATGGTGGGTAAGCGGGTGCTGTACCGGAGCTCGACTGGACACGAAATGGTCCAGGTGGTTTGTACAGAGCGCTTCGATAAGCATTGTCAGTTGGCCACATGTTTCTCGGTTCAACAAGTCAAGCTTTTTCCTCCCAAGAAGAAACGATTACAGTAGAGGACTACTGGACGACCAGTTAGAATATGAATGTCTAGAGTTAGTTTTAAATTAACGCGCCAAACCTTCCAAAATCGATGACCCTAGGGATGACCCTCGCGCATAGAATTAGAATGTGGGCCTTTCAGAAAGCATGAACTAAGTTACCAACCTAACAGCGCTGGCCTCCAACCTGATAGCAATGGTAGTGGCCTCCACCCTAAGTGCGATGGCCTCCAACCTAAGAGTGATGGCCTCGTTGTTATTTTATATTCTGGTGGTCTCCGATGAACGACGCATGCTTGTCACACAGGCTTTGCAGAATGGAAGCAAGAGCTGGCGTTCATCTCGCCCACCAATTTTTCAGCTCCTTGACTAAGCATCTGGTAGGCGACAAAGCTTAGTATGGAAGTGACATGGTGTTCTAAAAACCGCTATTCTTGGCCCTTTTCATCTTGCAAAGCGGGTGGCTGCACCTTGATTTCTTGTGTTCCAGCAAAGGTTCTGTCCGACGATGTGCGCGGTCGTTGGATCCACTCAGACCCGGCAGTCCAATGTCTTTGACGCCGAGGCGTCTGTGTTGGAAGCAAGCGTAGAATAGACATAGATTTTCGGCTTGAAACTTACCTGTGGTTTGCGACAGTAACTGTTTCTAAATGGCCGCAGGACGTTCGATCCCGCTCGCCTCCAAGCCAGGCGGGTTCGGCGGAATGGGCTCGCCAACCGGTCCTGTTGTTTCGACCTATAGGGTCTACCGTGCAACTATACTACGTTCGGTGGATGGGATCTAAAGAAAATTGGGAACTCACACATTCCCAAGTTATTTGCTCAATTGCCTTTCTGTATGCGGAGTGTAAAACTCCCATGTCATCAGGCAATGAAATTGATGCGAAGCATGGCCAGATTCCCCACGCCCTAGTACAAGGTTGCTCTTTGAAAGGTGTCGCACGTCCTATCCCTTTTGTTAACTATGTCCCAACACGTTTTTGACATGACGTGGGAATTGTTCAGTATATTCCTGATGTCACTGGAGGCCCCAACTCCCATGCAATCTTAGCCTTGCTTTGCGAGGACCACGGCAAGCGCATGGTGCTTTTGCGGTGGACTTCGGCTTGGACTTGGTCTTCAAAGTGGCAAATGCAATCGCAGATCGAGCAGAGATTTGGAAGCTCGGTTTGGAGTGTACCAGGATGCTAGAGGCTTTGTTTTGATTATTGATGATCTCATTGGAGGTGTCCAGAAAAGAGAATTAAGCCTAGCGCTAGGTTCTGCGCATATCTCTCTGCTGCGTAAGTGTCCTTGTGATGGACCGTTGTCTGCAGGAACACTGCAGCATATCCACGTCCACGTCGATCACTATAATGAATGCGCGCGGCTGAAGTTTGTTTGCTCCCGAGCGGCTGCCGAATGCTGCCGGGAGTGGGCCGATTGGGCCAAATTTGTATAGGCAAGGCTGCGCCGCAATTCTCCATTGCGTCGGACTTTTTGCGGATTGTCTCCTATAAGACTCCATACTGGAGCGCATCCTTGCGGAGTCGCAAGCAGCATCTCAAAGTTTTTTGGTCTTCTAACTTGTAACAAGGAGCTGCCTTCCTTTCCTTTGAAGATAGAATGGCCCCTACCTTAGACCCCCCCCCTATCTCCACATACCTAGGAATAATTAGCAATTATTCCTGGGGCCTTGAACATAGTTTCAGGATAATTATTCCAGATGTGCACCTGATGCAGGAATATTTTCTGTCATTAGAAATATCAACTCGTGGAACAGATCCAAGACAGATCAACACAGGCTCGAAAAGCTTCGATAGTAGCTTCGATTATGTAAATTATTCCAGTGATAGTTGGCATGAAATTATTCCTCCTGAGTCTCAGCATCAAGAGACCCCCTTTAGGATTATTTAAATAAATATTCTACCGTCTAATTATTCCACAAAAATATTCCACTATGTGACATGCCCCCCTGGAATAAATATTTAAGGGAGGGCCCATAAGATAGATAGTGCAAGTAGCCATACACGACAATGTTAAAACTTAACACCCAGTATCGGCGCTGCGTTCAGCTGCTGATTTCAGAATTTCCACATCCTTCTATACTTCTACCTACATGTAAATGGTTTCAGAAGTCAAACACCCTACTACACAGGTGAAGATGGCTTATGTGGTCATTCCTTCGTCTACTCGCATGCTGCATGCGATTCCAGGTGGTTTGACATCGGTCATTGCACGGCCGCAGCTTCACAGGGATCTATAGCGGAGTCGCAAGCGGCATCTCGAAAGCTCAGCCAAAGCAAGTCATCGTTGGCAAGCTGGGGTGCAAGTAACCATACACACCGCTATCAATATTTAACCCCCATCCATTATATTACTTATCCATGCTGCGTGCGACTCCAGGTCACTGGCCAAATAAACGTTTGACATCAGGTCACTACACGACCGCGGCTTCACAGGGCACTTGGATCGTGATCCGGTACGCAACTTGTGAAAAAGCGCTCATCGACTCATAGGGCGCAATATTCCCAGCCACGGGGAGGGGGGGGGGTGCAATCAATTGATTTATCAATCATTCATCACATGGGAGGGGGGGGGGTGTTAGACATTGATCTACCAATCTTTAGTCCCGAGCAAGCTCTCAAGCCAGTCCCTTTGCTTCGCAAGGCGGACTCGGGGTAGTCCTTACCAGGCTACCTTTCGTGACAATGTAATTGTATACCTTTTTCTGTCAGCTCACGGCACGACGATCTCATGGTTTCCATAACACTTGGAACCACAGCCGTTCTCCGCGCGACGAATCATGGAGCATGCAGAACAGTCGTTCACTTGCCAAAGGTCTGGAGTCTGGGAAACAGCGTTTCAGCCAAGGTACATCTTGCCTCGAAGACCTGGGCGCTACAAGTCTGTGGAATCCGACTCACCTCCCCTTGGGGTGCAGTCTTTCGATCCAAAAATCTTGAAGCCAAATCATTGGAATCGTGAGCTATCCTGAGCTAACCAGAAGCATAGAAGCCTAGAAGCTTAACTAGTTAACTAGTTGCCTTGAGCCTTGAGCGAACTTCTTTCTTAAGGAGGAGGCAGGGCGCCTACTTAAGTAAGTAAGGAGGCAGGGCTGAGCGGGCAATCTTCGGTCGGACTCGCTCAGTTCTTCGCCCTCCTCCCAACTCGTTCGCCCACCTTGGGATTGAGAAGGTGGAGGACTTGTCATGTCCACGAAAGCACCTGGCTGAAAAATGTGTTTTTCAAAGAAGACGTTGTTGAACAAGGCGGTGGGTGCATCAATGTGCACTTGAGGACGGTGAACGAAAGCTAGCGAGGGGGTGAACGAGAGTCTGGTCGTCAGGGATGGGCGCTGCTGCGCTGGGTGCTCTGCTGGCGCCGGGTCGTCTGCTGCTG